TATTCAAATGAACAAAAATGGATTTGTTTCATACCATATTTATCTTGACCTTCACGATTCAAAGTGATACCAGTGTGGGGGCAAGATTTATTCAAAGGACTTGTGTAGGAGTAATAGGGTATAAAGCTATATTTTTTAACATATTGTTATTTATATTATTAAGTATTTAAAATATTGTAAGCTACCTACACAGCGTGGTAGCACTATCAGATTAGGATTGCTACCATGTTTCCCCGAAAATAAGCCCTAGCCTGATTTTTTAGGGTATGGCTAATATAAGCCCTACCCCAAATATAAGCCCGAGGTGGTGGGTGTGACCAGTACAGGAGGCGATGAGTGTGTGTGGGGGGCCAATGGTGTCTGGCAGCAGCCTCATCCTGCCGGCTCCTTGGAACACAAGTAAGTCCGAGTACGGAGGCAGAGGTGGGGAGAGGCAGCCAATCCGGATGTGTTTCTTGACCATCTGGCTTACTGAAGGCTTGCATGGCAGCACTGGTAGCAGGCGGAGGCAGAGTAGGGGGAGGCAAGTGTGGGCATCTAGCTTGCTGTAGGCTTGCGTGGCAGAATTGGCAGCAGGTGAAGGCAGAGGCATGGCAGGCAATCCGGATACACTGTGTGGCTTGTGGGAGCATGTGGAATCAGAAGCATGGGGGAAAGGAGGCGAACCAGATTGCCACCCACTCCATCTCACCATCTCTCGGCTTGCCTGTGGCTGTGCCAAAACAGGCAGTCACACAGCGTCTCAAGATCACCTGCCTCCACCCCTGTGCTTCTGCCTCCAGCTGCTGCTGGCATGCGAGTCAGACAGCTGCATAGCAGATCCAGATTGTCTGCCTCGTCCTGCTCTGCATCCATGCTCTGACTTACCTGTGCTGTGCCAAGGGCCGGTGGGCTGTAGCTGGACACCATCAGCTCCCGTGTGCTCGCTGCCTCTTATGCATGCGCTTGGGGATGGGGCACCTGGCCGGGCTAATCATCCCGATACCATGTTTTTCCCAAAATAAGCCCTAATGCGTCTTTTGGTGTCCCCCCCAAAAGACAGGTCTTATTTTCAAGGAAACATGATAACTTGTGAGGGAATACCAAATAGCAGCATAGAGTTGTTCCTTTCATTGCCATCTAGTGGTCATTTTTTTGCAGTTGAGATCTGATAGACCTATTACTAGAAAAGTGATTCTCCTTCGCCCCAAATCATTTTTTAAAATGCCATATACTGAGAAAAAAAGAGAAATAAAATAAAGGTCTTTGAATTATGTATGTGTAAATGACTAAGATTACAGCAGACTGTAGGAATCACCAGTGTATAGATCCTGAACTAGAAAAGTTTAAACAGGGATTGGATAATTTACAGGAATATCCTTATAAAAGCTGGAAGTAAACTATGGCAGACATTTATCTAGCCACTTGAAACTGACAGTGTCACTTTAATAGTGAATACTGAAAAGATATAAAAAGCTATTCAATCTTAAATTTGATTGATATAAATATTAAGAATAAGTATATAATCCATTGTCCTATCTACCATATTTGGTGACAAATGGAACATCAGATTCTTTTGTTACAGTATGGATATAAAGTTTCAAACTATCTTAAAATCTAAATTTCCACCTGTAATATAACATGCCATAACATTGGAGGAAGTAATAATTTATCTTGTTATTTCCTCCCATTTCCAGTAGATGGTTCTAGTGTACCACAGATATCTTTTTAATTGGTACAGGAAGCACAGAAATAATACTTAAAAAAACAAACAATCCTCCCCCCATTATTTTAAAACTATTTGAAAATTCTACAGGTATTATTTTAAAACTATTTCTTATAACTGTGTATCAAATTTTTGCAATTTTGTGAGAAATATACTTCCTTACTTTTAAATGTTTATTTTATAAATCCAGGATAGGATGTTAAACATTTATGAGTTTTATTTTTGGGAATGAGAAATGAAGAGAAAAATGAAATTATGAAAGCCTTTGATCATGATAATTTTTAAATTAAAAGTCAGACACATATAAAGTAAAAATATTTTTAAAGATTAATGTTGACAAGATAGTTTGGACACAGTATAAAAATGTAGAAACAAGTAAAAAAATACAGAGATATGCAATAGTTAAAACTCAAAGAGAAAGTACTAGAAAAAATACAACATAAGTGAAGAATTACTTTGGTTGTACTATTACAATTGAAAGGAACAGATTACTAATTAAATTCCAAACATAAGTTCATGAAGGCAGTGTATATGTATTTAATCTTCAATTTTAATTCTCATCGACATATGGTGCTATTTGAACTTGTTTAATATGATGCAAATATGCACTTTGGACTGAAATTAGCACTGGAAAAAACATTTCATATATTCAGTGTTCAAGAATATTACTTCAAATGTTAATGGATTCAAGTTCAAGCAAGACTTGAGATTTACAGAAGAGTTTCATATTATGTTTCCCTCATCAGATACAAAATTTTGATTCTAAAATTTGTTTTGAGGCACAATTCCAAGCAGTTTATCAAGGATGAGTTAAAGCTCTATAAAATAACTATGAACCAATACAATTGTTACTAGAATAATCAAAATTATTATTTCCCATTTGAATGTAGCAAGCTATTAAAGCTATTCTGAAGAACTGACATAAATTTAAGGGTTACGTAAACAGAATCATAGCTACAGTTAGTAATTACAGAAGGAATACTATAGCTATACTTTGTGACTGCAAAATAGAAATATTTTTACTTAGGCATCTATCAAATATCTTTTTTTAAAATAAGATAATTGCTACAACTCAATATGTCATTTGTATTTCTTTAGTTTGGTCACAATCATTTGTCCCTTCCCAAGGAAAAACAAGTAATAAAAAATGGAAAACAGGAATTTGCCATATTATGTTTGTATGTGTACTAATATTACCTAAACTGAGCTAATACTATTCTTTTACTTATTTACGGACCTCCATATATTCTCCATATATTCAATTATTTCATGCAAACTGAAAACCCAATATCCTTAATATAGTTGCTTTGAACATTTCAACATTGAAATCCCAAATATAAGAAATTAACCTGCATAGACCTCTTTCTCTCTCACACACACTCACTTTACTTGCAGCAATGAAAATACAAGATCTTTGCTACCTCAGGCAAGGTTACTTCTTAATCTTGTTCACTGATATTGAATCATATGCCTAAGATTTAAAAAATTTACATGGAGGATAATATCAGCTTTCTTTATTTAAAGCATCCCATAGGCCAAGGGTGTCAAACTGCTGGCCCAGGAGCTGGTTTCATTATACCAAAGCCATGCTCACCCCATTGCTGACAGTGCAAAAAGAGTCGCAATACGTCATGTCAGGTAGCGAGTTTGACACTTGTGTCATAGGCAATACAGACTGCTTAACGATGGTTCTTGCCATTAATATTTTTGTGTAACTATAGTTTGTTCAAGGTGGAGTTGTATGTACATAACCAAAACGTATGCATTTTGAAATCTTTTAGTGAAAAAAATGTAATTTAATGGAATACAGGTTCTGTAACACTTTAAGTAGAATGTGACAAGTTAACAGTCAGATTTTCACATACGATACAAAGTAATTTCCTAAAATTACCATGGCTATTATTACAGGTGTCACTTAAGATAGTATATACTTGCTAACTAATTGCAAATTGCTAACTAAGCATTGCATGTGAAAATAATTCTAACCAACCCACATTCTGTCTGGTGAGATGGTTAAAATGCTGATGTGCTAAATCTCAGCCATGGAAATTCACTAGTTGAGCACATTCACCTTCTCAATCCAACCTAACCTCATAGGGTTGTTGTGCAAATAAAATTATGAACATCATTTTGAAAACCTGGTACCTGGCAGAATATATATGTAACAAATAGTAGACCAACCGGATTTCCAGTCTTGCTAATCATATTTGGATAACTATGTACACAAGGGAGTTTTGTTTAAATAATTTTGTGTGGTAGTGGAATAAAATCAATACATATACATACATAAATAAAACATCCTGATTTTAAACCCACCATGGCACAAATGTCTTAGTCTGCTCCTAAAACATACCTTTTTTCTCCCACCTGGGAGTTAAGAGGAACTAGTTTTCCCATCATTTGGACAGCCTATAAGTGTGACTCAGTATAAATGTGGGACATATATTTAAGTTTCCCAAATATTCTTCTATCACACACAATCCTAATTCCTCTTTGTAAAAACAACTCCCGCTTCAGTGCAGCGAGGCTGATTTCCGCGGAAACCCAGAGCTGCTTTGGTCAGCTACGAGTTTTAGCAGTCTTCGAGGGTAAGGAACGGCAGGCTGAGAGGGGCAAAGGGTGAGCTGGAAAAGTACGAGGACGATTATGGCCCGCTCCCTCATTCGCACGGTTTTAATGGGGAAGATGTTCAAATGTATTGCTCCCGGCCAATTACCAAAGGTCAAGACAGCGGGGAGCATCAGCCCCAGTGCCCCTGACCCCCTCCTATTCCAATAAAGGCAACATGGCGGACGTGGCTTATTTCCCCTACTACAGCTCATTCCCCCTTAACAGACCGGGAATTAAAAAAAAAAAAAAAAAAACCGCTCAAGAGACACCACATTATCATGCAGCGGGATCTAGGACATAATGAGGGGCACCACAAACCATTTCCCCGTCCCGTTCGGAGCGCGCTCGCGCAAAGCCACACCCTCTTATGCCCCCCCCTCCACTATTAAGAGCCTCTCCAGCTGCGCCTTCCTTCTATTCTCCCCTTTTTCAAACCGATACGGGGAAGAATACAGGAGTTGCTTCTTCTCCCTCCGTGCAGAGTTATAAGAAGGAAAGAACCGCCGTCTTCCCTTCCCTGCTAGCCCGCAACCTCGCCCGAACCTAACCCTTCACGCGCCTCCATTCGGATCGGAGGCGCGCGCCGTAGCGCCAGTATGGCAGCGGTGATTGCTGGAGCTCCTCCCCTCGAAAGGGGCGGGGCGGCCTGTCCGGCGGGCTCTCGGCGGCGGCCTCGGCACCGCCCCTTCACCTCCCCTCCCCCTCCCCTCCGTAACTTGGCTGGTTTTTATCAGGCGAGCCTCGCTGTGGAGAGTTTATCGGCGCTGGCGCTGCAGCGTGGGAAGTGCGGGGCGCGAAAGGACAGGAGGCAGTGCCAGCAAGGGGGGTGCCCCGCCGGCTGGTCCGGCCGGCCGGCCAGTTGGTCGGTCGGTGGCGTCGGCGGACGATGCTCCGGCTGGTGTCGCTGAAGTTGGGGCGGCTATACCGCTACGTGAAGCTGGCGGTACTGGGTATCCTGGCGGCGGCGCTGGCCCTCAATTCGCCTTCGTTGCTGGCCTCTCTGCAACGCAACGAGCTGGCCGAGCGGCGCTTCTTGCAGCTGAACAAGTGCCCGGCCTGCTGGGGCACCAGCTGGTGCCGCAAGTTCTTGAACGGACAGCTGCGGCTGGAGAGCTGGGGCCGCCTGCGCCTCCTCGACTTCCTCAACGTCAAGAACGTGTACTTCGCTCGGTATGGGGAGCCCCGCGAAGGCAGCCGCCGGGTCGTGCTCAAGCGCTTGGGTTCCGCGCGGGAGCTTGCCGACATCGACGCTAAGATCTGCCGGCGCGCCACCGGCAGGGGACGCTGCGACTTGCTCCAGGCCCTGCACGCCACCGAGTTCGCCAGCATCAACGGCGACGTCCGACTTCTAACTCCCGACGTCGTGGAAGGTTGGTCGGACCTGGTGCATTGTCCCTCGCAGCGCCTCCTCGACCGCGTCGTCCGTCGCTACGCCGAGACCAAGGACTCGGGCAGTTTTCTGCTCCGCAACCTGAAGGAGTCGGAGCGCATGCAGCTGCTCATTACGCTCGCCTTCAATCCGGAGCCTCTCGTGCTTCAGGTAAGGGATCGCCGCTGCCGGGTCTTCCCCCTTGGCCTCCCCGCCTGCCGTCCTCTTCCCAGGTCGCTGAATTGCACGTCGGCTAATGCTTGTGTGAAAACGACTGCAAAAGGATGGCCGAGGAGGGATTTAAAGATTTAGCGTAAACCTGGTTGAGTCAGGCCAACATGCGGTCTTCTAGGGATTTCCCCTCCATCTGTAGGTGAAGCCCTAGTTTCCCTGCCTCATAATGTCGAGATCAGAAACAATTTTAGCTATAGTAGGAGCAGTATCAGTATATCTTCAGTATCTTCTAATATTTTGAAGGCTTACCCATCCATTGCTTGTATAAGCCTTCTCAGATTTGGTAAGGTGCCTCAAGGTTTTAAAAGTACAGTATGGGTTTTCTCTTTGCCATCTTCCTTCTTGGATAGAATATCAAATTTGACACTCATTGCTGTGCAGGAGCTGATTTTAGGACTTCTTAAATGTGTATGTTTAGAATTGGTACAATTTTACATCTTAATTGCTTCTCATATGCCAGGTGTTTTAATGAAAATTGAACTCATTTTTTACATACTTTAAGTGCCCCTTGAATTCAGGTGTTAAATGGCATTTTGGATGTAGAAATGCCCCCAAAAGCCTTAAATCACAACTGAAACTGTTTTGCATTCGTTAGAGTTATTTGTGCATTGAGATATTGAGTATCTGGCTTTTAATGTCTTCTTCAGAACATAGAATAGACAACAGTAGATTGTGAATATACTAAGCAACTTGAGACAATGTAGACAAAATATTTAAATGACTGAATATGTCCCAAATAGTGTATTTGAATGCTAATGTAATCAGTTGAAACTTATTGAAACTGAAAAAATATTGTTAGAGTGGTAAAATATAATTCCTTCTCTGAGATTCCATTACAGCATAATCTGTGGATATAATTGTATTTTCATTATTTACCATGTATTGAAATGTATCTTAATCTTCTTGGGTATGTCTCTTTGTTCATAACTTCTTTTTTGGTAAACTTCCATTTCTTTCCAGCAATTATTAGTGCTTGAAACTTGTTTCTCATGTAATAAGCTTATAGGGACAGCCAAAAAATGAAAAGTGTCCTCTTGTTTGAGGCTTCAGTAATGTTAACATAGCATTCATTCAGTTAATCATGATTGTTAGACATTAAGTATTAAGTATTCAGGCATCAAATTCAGTAATTCCAGTTACATTTCAGAACAGTACTATCAGACAGTGCTATACAGAATAGTAAAAATTATGGCAGTATAGATCTAATTTATTTAGAAATATGACTTATTTGACACAATGTATTCATTATTTTAGTTATTCACTTGTGAGGAATATGTTCTTTGTCATCAGAAATATTTAACATGGAGGATAGAAACTGAGACTGGAATTATATAGGTGGTCATTGAACAAAATACATTTTATTGTGCACATATTATCTGCATAAGTATAATGCAATAATTAAATTTCTCTAATGTACAATTTTATATATCTTTCATACCATAGTTTCTAAAAGGCAATATGTTTGTGAAATAATGGTTAAGTCACTTTCAGTTACTGGAATTGTTGACAAAAAAGGGATGGTTGACAACATAATGGTCTACTGAAACAGCTTGTGCTCTGCTGAGTACTTAGTGACTTGATATGTAACAGTTTGTATAGTAACTTGATATGTAACAGTTTGTATATTTCTAACTATTTTTAAAGGATGTCATTAACTTAGTGTTCTTCTCCCCCAAACATAGCTGATAAGACTTCTATTGTGATTTTTCTTGCAGATTCCTTTCACATTAACTTTTTATGCTTTTGTATGTGCAAAAGTTCCGCATAGTTAAAATTCTTGAATTAAAAGCTTGATAACTATTTCTTCAGTTATTATGATCTAATCTTTAAAATATGATTATTGTAAATACGGTAGATTAACAGAAATAATTTGCAAGAATCATTAAAGAAGTTGGTTCTGCATGAAAACAATACTTTAGATACTGAAAGAAATAATACATGCTTATTGTTTGATTAACTGAGGTAGTAAGGCAGAGATAGTGTAAATGATTTTATTTTGGAGGATATAGAATATAAAGCTTGGTTAGGTTAGAGTTAGACCTAATATTTTTTTCTTGTTTCCTGTTTTGAAACAATTTGGTAAAGGGATTTAAATACATTCAAGATACCTCCATATAATATAGGTACATAATTATCTGTCCAGAAATAACTCTACCATTTAAGCCTTTGCATTGCTTAAGAACTTCTACTGAAATTTATTTAAATATGTTTCTTTTTAAAAAGTCTAAAAGATTTCACATTAACAAAAAATTGTTTTGAAAAGCTAAGTATTTTATGTATTCTTTAGTATACATGAGGATTTGTTATTTGTGTATATATTATTTCAGTTGCCTATAATCCAGGTATCAGGACTACTATGTCATTTTCATGTTAGCAATGTGCCTTAGTCAGAATATTTCTGGCTAGTGATGGATAATACCACATTATCCAAAATGCACATTTTTGTGTCTTCATCCAGTTAGCTTATGCAATCATGATACATTATCATTGTGAATATTGACTAAAGGGTTAAAGAGACCTTATAATCAAGTAATTGGACATTAGCCAGATTCATCTTAAGAAATACTTTGAAAGTTAATACTATAATACAGTTACATAAAGATTTAATAGTTGATTGGTGCTTAAGAAGAAATGGCAGTGCATTAGCAACAATAGTTTGTAGATTGCATTTGCTCCCAGAGTCAAAACTAAACAATAATTTAGAATTGTATAAATGGCTAACAGTTTGTGATTCTGTTACTTGATAAAGCATTCTAAGTTAATTTCTATGAAATATTTTTGTAGGCTATAATTGGAAGTAGGATACTAATCTCACTGGGTCTTTGGCTGATTCTTCATAATATATTTAGGTTTCAGTAATCCAATTAGGTTGTGCAATGCACAATTATAGATTTGTGCATGATTTCACAATAGACGGATTTTGTTTTCTTTAAAAAGCATTGCTTTATATTTAGTGATAAAAATTAATTTTCAGAAATGTTTTGCAAATTAATGGGACAAATTTGCTTGAACAGTTCTGTGAAAGAGATTTATTATTTATAAGCACTTGTTTTTTGGAACATGTTACAGCTAAAAATGAAAGAATAAATATATGGAATAAACTCAGTGCAGTATCTAAAGTTGCAAACATTGGTCTAAAATTCTGGTGGATTGTGCAAAAAAGTTACGTGTGTTCATTCTATTATATGAATTTTTATCATTTGCATCTTTTGTTAAAATTATTTTAACAGCTGTTTAACTGCACAATTAAAAAAAGGAAAAAATAGAGATGCACAAAAATATTTCAATGAAGATTTTTTTCAGAATTATAAATTAATACTACATATAAGATTGTAACTTTTCTTAGTATGAAATGTATACATAGTACTGCAAACAAAAGTAATGAATATGACAGAAATCGTCAGAATAATTGAAATTTCTATCAGATTTGAGGTGAATCCTTATAATGAAATAAGCATGATGTAATTTTTATATTAGCTTGTTTTTAAATTGCAAGTTATTTTTTAAATATAATTTTATTAAAAATACAAAGATATACTAATAGAAACTAATAAAGTAAGAAAAAGAAAAAAATCAGAGAACTAAAAGTGCAAAAGCAAAAAAACTACAAAGAAGTAGTTTATGGTTTTCTATACAGCAATTATATGTACAATTATAAATTTATCTCTTGCTCTGTTACACCATAACTCATATTTCTATAATTTATCATATTTAATGATTAAATCCATTAATCAAGTTCACTTTTTTCCACACAAAAAAAATCTATAAGGGATTTCCAGTCTGAAATAAACACAAGTATTTTTGTTTTAATCAAAGAAATCACCTTGGCCATTTCTGCAAGTTCCATCTTCATTGTGGGTAGTTCTGATTCTTTGAATCTTTGTGCATGTATTATCTCACTCGGGTTATCATGTATAGAATAAAATTACATGACATTTTTTCAACTGTTTGTCTGCTAATCCCAAAAGAAAAGAATCCTACTTCAGTAGTATATTAATCTTTAAAATCCTCTGAATTAATGTATGTATTTGATCAAAAACTTTCTGGCTTTTTTACAAGTCCATCGAACATGGTAAAATGTCCTTTTTGTTGGTCACCTGTCCACTTTATCATATATTATTTTACATCTGTTTCAAATTTCAATAAAAGTTCATATGTTTTAACAATATGTCATCATTTCTACAGTTTTATTTCAAATTCAGTCTTCTAGTATTCAAATCATAAATTCCTTTATTTACTTTAATTCTTATTTAAATCTTTAAATAAGAAAACCATTAACAATCATATCAGTCCGCAGCAGGTCTTCTCTTGTTTTTAATCTTATATTCCCCTTGACAAAATTCTAGTTTCTTAGGGTATGTTAGCCATTTGCATTTGCTTATTATTTCTTGTCAGTAAAATGCTGTTCGTTCTGAAACTCAGAAAGGTGTTATATCTTTTTATATTAATAATATTTCATTTCATTTCAGACATATTGATTTTTAAAATTTACATTAACCTTAACTGTATTGTACCATAGGCATCCATGCCACCCAAACTAGGTTGGGTTCTTCTAACTATAAAAGTCTTCTATTTCTCATAGTATCCACTCCTTTATCCAAGTCAAACAACAAGCTGAAAAACAGGGTAAACCCAATACTTCCCTTCTGATATTGTAACACCTTGTATTTAACTCTTGTTTTTTTACTTGCCACTACTTAAATGATGCATCGGTTGTTAAAAACAGCTTTTGTATGAAACAAATAAATACATTCTAGGCAATCTTAACCACAGAAATTCTTCCCAGCAAAGACAACTGTAGTTTCTCCCATCTTATTTTTTTTAATTTCATTCCATGCCCTTACATAATTTTTTAAAATATTTTTATTAAGAATTATAAATGAAGAGAAGAAAAATCAATTATAGAATACAAAATATACAAACAGAAAAAATAAAGG